ATGCTGGTGTAAGTAAGGCTTGAAAGGGAAACCCAAAGGAAAATAACCACTTTGGGGGCTCCCTAAAAAAAGACACCCAAACTATGCTCTTCAGTCGACTTGAGCGCAAACCTCTTTGCCGCCTTCGGGTTATCTTCGCTCTTTTTTTCCAATGGAAAATCGACCAAGCCAAAGGCCTGATTTTCCGTGGTCCTGCAAGATCAAGGTTGGTTTGACCCAAGGGTTCCTGGGGTAGACTTAGGATACATTTCACATTTCGCCAGTGACTCAAAGGGCAGCAACCTAGAATATACATGATATACATTCTATAACTGGGCCGTTTTGTCTAATCATGATGACCATAGGTGTCCTTTTTGGTTGTTTTGCCAGACAAATAGATGTTTCCTTTATTGTTTTTGCCTTTTTGCTTGTCCTTTTTGCCTGATTCCTGGTTTTACCCCAGGGTTCTGGTCGCGTCTTGTCGCCCGACCGCCCCCCTCCGCCGCCCCTTTTTTTTTCAGACGGCGGACCTTTCGCGGGCCGAGTCCTCGCGGCTGGAGGAAGCGCTGGGATGGGAAGAGGGAATGGCTGGCTGGACACGTCGGTGAAATTTTCTGAACCTATCCTTGGCAGGCAAGTCTTCACTGAGATTTATGAGTGGCCCAGCTTCATGTCTGAGTTGCTGGTTCCTGGGCCAAGGCTGACCGAACTCTCGGAAATTTTCCAGCAAAGTCTGACGAGTTCCGACGAAGCTGGCGCACGCCGAGCTACATATTCACAATGCATGGGAGTCCTCGTAGGGCCGGGCTGCTGTCATCTCTTATGACAAACTCTTTGCAAGTTCCAATGTGTTGTGCCCGTCAAGGCTTGCAGGGCACGTCGGTCCTGCGGTCTGGTGGTCGCACGTCAGCCGCACGTATGATGTTGAAGTCCTTTCGCATGGCAGCGGGTTGTGTAGGACCTTGCGCGAAGTTGCTGGAGTGTGAGAATCAGCTTATGTGACCCTGTGAGGCGTCACGGTTTGGATCACGCCAGCCGCCCTCGTGATCCCAGGCGGCATTTTGACAGTTCTGGCCCGCAGGTGAAACTGCCCCTTGATATGGGTCCTACCGATCCAGATCACACCCGGCTTCTCTGGGAAATTCTAGGACGGAACTGAACAAATGTTTTTTTGGGGGTGGTTGCTCCCTTAGCGTAGCAACTTCCAGTAACCCTGGGAAAGCCTTAGACCACCCTCGGCAAGCTGCAGTAGAGCTTGGTACCCCAGTGGGTTTTTAGTGGCCCTTAAACCCCAGGCAAACCCTCAACCGTAGTCAGCCCTGAGCAGTACACGATTCCAACTGAGCGGCTCTGTCCCCCGACCCTCGGCGTTCTTCGGACGAGCCGCGAGTTTCCAGGAGCGCAAAGGAAGCGAGAAGATCGAGCGCAAGATCAAGGCAGTGCTTGCGCCGTTTTTTTGGTTTTGCTTCTTTCCTGGAGAACGTCAGGCAACCCTTGATTGGTGGTTTGGATTGATGATTTGGGGATTTGAACCCCTGGTCCTCGGTAGATGAGGAACGCCTCGCCTCCTGAACCACCAATCCAAATCCAAACCACCAAGCTGCGATGGCGAACCGCTTTTGGGTTGCTGTTTCAGAGGCAAGCAGGTGCCAACGCAGCCTGTCTGGTTGTCCCATCTATTTGAAACGACCCACATTCGGGTAGTTACCCTCCCAAAAGCAAACATAGAACCTGCACGGAGGTTCCTGGATGACCATTGTCCTTTCCAGGGGACCCCCCTGTGCATATGTTTGCTTTTGGGAGGGTAGCTTTTTTCTTGGACGCTCATCTGTTGATCTGATTGTAAGCTAGATGCACATCACCCATGCCATCAGTGCCTTTCGAAGCCAACCCATTGGCCGAGCGAGCGACGAGCACTCGCTCTCCTCTTCAATCCCATGCCTGTTGCAAGCCATGATCAAGTCAAGGTACATGATGTCTTGTACATAGGTGTCCTTTTTGGTTGTGTTGCCAGAAATATAGATGGCGATTCCTGGTTCGCCTGGTGGTTTCATCATCTACCAGGGCCATCTATTTCCCCTAAAAGGGCACCTATGGTCTTGTATTGTTGCAAAGCAGTCGTGACTGAGGACTTATATATATATATATATATATATATATGAGCCCTCATATATATATATATATGTATCTGTCATGTTGGCAAAACCATAGGCCAGGGAAGCCGCAGACCTGCGAGGCATCGCTGCCTGTTGCTTCTCAAGCCTCAAAGGCCATTGGTTCGCTCCCGTTGGTCAAATGGCGCGCGACACGTCCGGACCTGCAACTTGTCAAGATGTTTCACGTGTTGACAGTTTTGGAGTATTGTAGAGAGAGGAGCGCGATGCCAAACAAAAATTATGTTTGCGGGACTGAAATCCAGAAATAAAACAGTTTGGAGGCGCCTCTTGTGGATTCCCCCGTGGTCTTCTCATAGTTGGTCCTTCTTTTGGTCCTCCTTTACCACTCTTTTCATATCCTTTGAGGGGTCTACCTCCCCAAGCGCCGCATCCAAACCGTGTCCTACACCTCGGTGACACGCTCGCATACCCCCGCGCATGTCCGGCGGCTAACGCCAGGCCCGGCTCGACGAGCCGGATGGCCCAGGGGGAAGCGAAGCCTTCGATTTGGCGGTGGTCAAAACCGTTGTTGTTGATCCCAGGTTGGTTGGGGAAGCGCACTCCAAAGCCGCCTGCTTTCGATTTGGCTGTCAAACCCGTTTTGGGATCCAATTTTGCTTGCGAGTGGTTGGAATTCACCACCCATAGGCTTCCTATTTTAGTGGTTGGATTGAATCGCATGTTCACTGGGGGTACGATTTGGATATTGACCCATGGCCATTTGGCTTCGAAGCGAGGACCTCAGAAAGGGAAGTGTCTAAGCAGAAGCAAACTGGAGTCAGATGAACCGACGCGCATATTCGACCACGAGCCGCTCGGAGCCAAAATTCGAACTCGGAGGAGCACCATCTTGCTGATGTCCCAAGCCTGGGTTGGTTTCGTTCAAACCTGCCAAGGGGGTTCATCAATTTGAGACGCAAACATATCCAGAAACGGCGAGCGGGTATGCACCTTGAGGTATTTGATGAGTCAAACATGTTGATGAAGCCGCTCTGAGCTTGCAACGCACGGCCTGTCAAGTGCTTGAGGTTGGTATCTACAAAAGCTGCCCGCTTTACTTTGATCTTTGATGTTTGGCCGGGTCGGTGAGTTGCCTTCAATCCTCTCCATACAACCCCATTTTGGTGGACACACATATGGGTGTGACTTTTTAAAGGAAGTCGGCTCCATTTTTAGGGGTCCCCAATTTGGCCTCCGCCAAATTCTGCGACAGTTTTGGTGCTTTGGCAGCAGACCGGCTGATCTGGGTGTTCCAGCTTGCGCAAGAGGGATAAAACCACAGAGTGCCTCCTGCTTGGCAGCGGTCCTTTTCTTGACCTTGGGGTAGACTTAAACCCAGGGAGCTTCCCTTGTGGGGGTATCAACCACCCCTGGGTTTAAGTCTGCAAAAGGGTTTTCAAAACTTCCATTTGCTTAAGAATATTTGCCATTTTGTTCTGTTGTTTTTTTTAGGGGTTCTATCACTACTGGACATATTTTCACCTTTTGTCCAGGGGGCGCAACATGCAAATGGCAGAAAAAGGTTACCTGGGGGTAGACTTAAACTTAGGGGGCTTCTTTTGGTTCAAGTCTGCCTTGGGTTTTCAACAAGCCAACCCCTGCGGCGTGCCAGCCTGTGCCGGCGCTCGCGCTCAGGTTGGACGCCCGCCTGGAGCTCGCCGAGCCGGGGCGCTGAGTTGTTTTGAGCCAGTGCCGGCTCCGATTTCGTGTTTGTCGTTTTTAAGAATCGGACCTGGAATAGACTTTGGATACATGTTACATTTGACCAGTGACTCAAGCAAACAATCAAATATACATTCTATAACTGGGCCTAACTCTAATCGTGGGACCATCACCCAAAATGGTGGTTTTCCTTTTGGGTGTTCCTCCTTAAACAACCCAAAAGGGGTACCAAAGGAAAACAGACGCACATTCATTTGGTTTCGCCCTGAGCTCTCCTTTGGGGAGCATCTGACACAAGACGGCGCCATGTGCCTGCTGGTTACACGTTTTTTTTCTTTTTTTCACATCCATCCAAGAAAGCTGCATTTCTACAGCTGTTTCCGTAGTCCTGCAAGTGCCAGAAGCTGAACTCCTGGATTTTTGAGGAAGCTGCTTGAACAACAACATACCCGGTCACAGGCCTGGAGGCATCTGAACCTAAACCGAAGCGCCCGGAGTTTGTGTCTCCCGCCGGAGAGGTAAGTCGGGTCCGGTCTTTTGGCCAAAAAACGTTTCTTCGGGCCTTCAGAGAAGCAGCAACAGGCAGCGAGGCTGCTTCGCAACTTACAACAGTGGCTTGCCGGAGAAGCAACGGCTCTTGCAAGATACCTGCGAGCACGTGGGCGTAACAAGGCTCTTGTTGTACCACAATTGGTTGCTGCCATTGCATAGTGTTGGTCCATTGAGTGGACTGACACATTTTGTTCGTGTCCTTTCATCCAAGCCAACCGGGCGTTGGATTCCGCTTTCAAACATCCTGAGTGGGGCACTTGTGGCTGCTGTCGTATTGTATATGTGTACAAATAGAACATCACATACACGCAACATCCCTTTTGTGGTGTAGTTTGGTGTGTTATGATTTTGCGGCTTGTGGCATTCTTTCAAGCAATCCTCATCAGCATGCTTTGCCGATGCTTGTTGTTTAAAGATTGCCTTCCTCGCTGCGTCTGGACATCAAGCAACACACAAGCCACCAGAACTTGCTGCTCTACCCCAGGGTTGCATTCCGCACCTTTCAACGTGATGCTCAACAGGGAAACAGCATCGTAGGATTGCAAGCTCTGGGCAGGGTTGGAACTGAGCTCTAAGAACACAAGGACCCTGGCATTTGATGACATGCCAAGATTCAAGGTGTCAAGTGATGTCAACTGATTTGTCCTTTCCCCACGCGTTGCGGGCGAAATTGAAACGAGCAATCCTAGCGCGCCATGGTCATCTTCGCGCCGAGCTTTGCGGCGCAGCTGCACGCGAGGGAGGCCGTGCTGCTGGGTCCGGTGGCCGCCGTTGCCGCGGTGGCCGTCATCGGCGGACGCCCGCTTCTGAGGCGGGGCGAGGGATTGGCCCGGTGAGATTGAGGGATGACTGTGAGCTTTGGCACCGCCGGCAACACGGCTATCGTCAGAAAGTCCGGATGCGCCCCCACCATACGCATGAGCGGCGCAGAAAGGGTGATGGTTTGGGTGGGCCCTTGATCCGCACCATCGGTTGTGATGATACCGGTTGCATATGCGCGATAGGGACCTTGGGACCTGTGTCTTTCTCCGTAAACCCGAAAGCAAGCCCGTTAACAATTAGGGGTCCTTGATTATGATGTGCCAACAGGTGCCGTGTGATGTGTCAGAACATGTGCTTGGGTTGCTACCTTTCCGCCCACAAACATGGTACCTGACAGGCGGTCCCTTGAAGAGGAAACTGCTCTTCCAGGTCACCTCCCACAAATGCTACGTTGGTGGGGGGAAGGGTCCTCTGGCTTCGCTGAACCTCCTTCCCCACCAAGACGTCCAGTGGCCATGGGCCAAATCCGAATCGTGCCCCCAGTGAACATCCGATTCAATCCAACCACTACAATAGGTCCTAAAACGGGTGGTGAATTCACCTACCACCCAAAATGGGATCCCAAAACGGCTGTGACAACCACAGCCCGGGTCTCCGTGCACCGCAGGAAGACCTTGCCCTTCGGCACCGCGGTCTCCTTGTGCCTGGTGCTGGGCGCCTGGGGCGAAGAGCTGGGCTTCGCTTGGTTCCAAGCGAGCAGCGCAGTGGTGGTGGTGGCACTGCTCATGGAGCCGATGCTTGCGCCGCGTTGTTTTTTTGTTTTTTGCGGGAAGAAAAGAGGACAACCTGTTTTTTTTGTTTCTCCAGCAGTGACCAGCAGTATCAACCGTGGGGCAAGCGCAAGGTTCAACACGTCTTCGCGGTGTGAAGATCCGATTCGGTCTCCAGCTCCGTTAGGCCATCTGCAAGGACTAAGCTAAAGCTAAACAAGGCTACTATGGGGTCCCTATATTTTGGCCCATGAAAAGTGATTGTGCCTTGGTTGGGGTGATGTTTTCCCTGTTTTAGAGGAAGCTCATTTTTCAGGAGCCCTTCTTGAGGGCTCAGCAGATCCAACAGTTTCCAGGCCCGGCCCGACCCAGAACTGTCAGGACGACTCGGACGCACTGCAAAGACGGATGGATGTTCGACCAGTACCCATTATTGAGTTTCTTAAGTCGAACAACACTTCTTGAAAGTGGCTTATTCGGTCAATGTTTGCTACAGCTCATCTTCCATCAAAATCTCGCCCCTTTCTAGCTTGGCCCACATCCCGCTTAGCAACCAACACTACAGCAAAGCAAGCCCCTGTAAGTCCCCTCCAACTGCATTCTTGCTTTGGCCCAAAGCCAGCAGACAGACATCTCGCGCCAGCCAACATGCTTCACGTCTCAAACCTTCGACATGACACAAATCCAAAGAACACAAGCCACAGATCTCAGCCAACAGTTTGTTCCAAGCTAGAAACTACAAATCAACGCTGGTGCGATAGGTAAGGAATGAGGGAACCCCTATATAAATTATCCCCCCTTCGGTTTCTTTTAAGGCGACCAATTCCTGGATTCTTTCCATTTCTCATTCCTACCGATTTCGCACCCAGAAATCAACAATCGCCCTGCAAGCAAACCCAAGAGCCGAGGAACATTACCCTGGAGCGTTTGATCCTGAAGAGACCCCCAGCTGCAACCAGTGGCACCTTTTTGTGGGGAGTGGGTGGGTGGGTGGGTGTGCCTCACTTCAAACTCAACCAACCACGGCTCGTTTCCTTGTTTTTGTTGGGTGGAGTTCCCTTGTCAAAACAAATCAACAAGACTTGCTTCCACCCAGCTTTTCTGGGAAGGCTCACCTCTGCCCAGTTTTTCTGGGAAGGCCTCCCCTCCCCTCAGTGTTTCGGGGCCTAGCTTTGGGTAGAAGGAAAGGACCCGGCCACTCCACCAAACCGAGGCTCTTGGAGGCTCTGCGGCACCTTTTTGGGCAGCGCTCTGGCGGTTTTGATGGCCTGGGCCCTGGAGATCACCGGCAAGGAGCAAGAAAGCTGTGTTGCTGGGACGTGTGCCCGTCTTTCTTGGAGGGTACTTAATTTTTCTTTGGGGGGGCGCCAAGGGGTCGGGTGCCCGCCTTTCTTGGAGGGCACTTATTTTTTTTTGGGGGTCATGCTCATATTGTCTTGGTTGATGGTTGTTTGCTTTTTTGTGTGGGTGTATCTTTCTTTGACACCTTTTTGTTGGATGTATACTTGTGAATTTGGGGGTACCCACTTGTAGGTGAATCTTTTGTTGGAGTCGGGACCTTTTTGGGGTTAGTTCAACGAGAGGCCAAAGGCGAGCCCCCGTGTTGTGAGTTCCCTTTTTGTGAGACAACCCGCTCGATGAATACACTTGGATGAAGATAGATGGCACAGGTCACAGACGTAGATTGCTCTCATCCGTTTGCCAACACGACCATCTACCTGTATTGCAAGTATAGCTGGGCGAATTTGTGTAAAGGGGGGGCGGGTTTCCGAATCTCCTGATGATTGCATCATCCCCAAATTTCTGCAATGGGAACCCGAAACTAGCCCTCCCCGAGTCATGTATGAGGGGCGTCACTTTCTAGATGATTAAGATAGCTCAACTGGAAGCACTGAAAAAGTCAACGCGGCTCTCGCTTCAGTGACTGACATTTTCGTGGTGTTTGCGTTGAGGGAATTTTGAGGGTGATCCCCAGAGGATACCGCTCTGGCAAGTCTCTGACAACGATCTTACCTGTTGTCCCAGAGTCTAGGTGGAAGTCATGCAAGTCGATGCTTCCCACTTGAAGGGAAGTAAGGGTCAACCGACTACTTTGGGAGGTCAATGTGGAAAACATTCAGGTTGCAAAGAGCACGAATTCGTTTCCCAGATCTGGTCAATTTTTTGTAACCCAATGGCCACTGACAAGTGAGAGCACACAAGTGGCCCTCCAAAGTTGTTGGACACAAATCCCTGCTTGCCAATCTGCCAAGGTTCCAACTCCAATCCACTGCCCAAGCAAATCTGCCAAACTGCTGGCACCATGGAGTTCACGCATTATTCTTCGACGTCTCGATGTAATGTCGTTTTGCCATCAAGAGGACTAGACTTCACATTTACGCCCCACAGGTGTCAAAAGGAAAACCATGTCTTCGCAGCTTGTTGAGGTTGTTTCCCTCGTCTTTTACGTGAAGCAAAGCGACAATAGTTAGTTGGCGACTGTCTTTGAACGTGGCGCAGAAGAGGTCGCCAGAACGTGCATTCTTCCGGGAAAAAAGAACACAATGCGTATGTGCGAAAGCAGGAGAACTCAAAATGGTGTTGCCTTCCTCGATCCCCAGAGGTGGCTTCCCTCTGAACCCAGGCTGAAAAAACAAAATCAGACGCTGGGTTCGAGGAGCCTTTGGAGGTCACCTGCCTCTGCTTTAGCGCCTTTCTGGGCTTCGGCATGGTGCAGGTCTTCCACAGCAAGGACGCTGCGCCACTTCGGCGAAGGATGGGGTCCTGAAGCAACCCGAGCTTGGGTCGAAGCTGCGGATGCGTGCGTGCATATGTGTGTGTGTGTGTGTGTGTGTGTGTGTGTGTGTGTGTGTCTTCCAGCTTGGAAACGGACACCTACACAACACACGCGTTTTTTTTTTGTTGCGGCACCATCCAGACCAGGGGTGTCCTCACATGAAGACAGACGGAAAGATCAACAGGATGAAAGCGCGAGGGGGTTGGATGTTTCTTTCAGTTGACTGTTCCCGACCCCTATGGTCCACCCAGTTGCTGGGTGTAGCCCCTGGGTAACCAATTGGTTTACCCAGAGTTCCACTGTTTGATTACCAAGCTAGACTTAAACCCAGTGGTTAATTTCCGAAGAGAGGCCCCCACGTTTAAGCAAACCAAACAATGGAACGGGTTTGCCAGTTTGCCAGGAGCCGGATTGTTCTACCCGGTCGTTCGAGCACCCTTTGGGGTGCGGGGGATGGTGGGGGGGAGAGTTGGGTCACTTGAGCAGTCTCAATCTTTTCCCTTGTGATTCATAACTTACCACTTGAGCCAATCTTCGGTGAATGTTCCCTGGGATGTTCAAAGGGCACGTGAATAAACTGCATAAATCTAATATAAATATACAATATATATAAATATATATATTTCGCGGATATTGCCTATATAATGAGGGGCTAAACAAGCAAGCTTTCATTGGCCTCCTTTGATTCCGACAGTTTTTGGGTTTTTGACTTACCCACAACCCCATTCCAGTTGTCGCCCAAGTTTTTCGCCTTTTTTCGGCCAGCCCCGGCCCCTGCCCGAGGTTTCCTTTCATCTCCTCGGTGACCTGCATCACCTGCGCGGTGCTCATGTTCGGCTTCATGGCCGCCGGCTGGGTGCTTTGGTCTTTGAAACGAGCAGGGACGTGCAAAATAGTCAGGGTCAGGCCGCAGGTCTGAATTCGTCTGCCTTTCCCAGCCGGATAATCCATTTTGGGAAGTCCGACTCATCTATTTTGGAGCCACACCCAATCAAGAAAGAAAGGGTGTTCCTGGTTTTTCCTGGGCAAAGGCAGTAGACCAGCATCTTTTAGGTCAGTGTTTGTGTGGTGAGCGCTGCAGACCCAAGGCGTATTCCGTATTCACCATGGCACATGTGTGACCTGACCGACTAATTCTCCCTCAGCCGGCCTGTAGTCAACAAAAGCATCAATGTTTTCCGACAATGGCACGTGTTGAAAAACATGAGTCCAGGTCTTCTTGCCACCGCCGATTTCGCGGATTGCCTGTTGGGGCTGGCTCCTGAGCTTTTCAAACACGTGCCATTCAAGAGCATGTATCAAAATGGTCACTGCAGCCAGTGACACTCGTTCGGTTTCCTTCTCCGTCCATCAAGGGTTCTCGCCTGTTGCTCTAAACCTCACCACAACGACCAAGCCATAAGGGTCGGTTTTCCTTGGACTCCGTGCAGACCATTGATCATTTACAGCAGGGTTGTGGGATCGAGGGGTTTCTCCCCACTTTGTGATACAAGGGAATCCCCCTTTATAAGAACAAAAGAGTCTTTGGGAAGCCCTTTCTGTTGTATCACAGAAGTGGTCGTTCCCCACAACCCTGATTTATAGCAATGCCATTTCCACCAGGCCAGAAAGGACACCACCATGGGGATATTGTTTTCACTGCTGTTGGCATGTTTTTAGGTTTTGGTTCTGTTCATTGTTTAGTGGGGGCTGCAAAAAACCCAATATTTTTGCTTCCACACCAAGGCTCGCACAGGTTTGTGGCGAGAAAACTCGGAGCCGATCGAAAACGATGGATCGAAGGCGCTGATCTTCGGGCAGATCGCCTCGGTGCTGGTGGGGGAGATGCTATCCTTGAGCTCCTCCCTGCTGTGTCAGCTGATGCTGCCGGATGCCTCCAGTTTGTCGCTGGTCTTCGTGGCGCCCTGGGCCGAAGGGGGGGGGGAAATATCTATCTGGTTGAGAGGGGGGTTGCCACAGTTTGGAGGGGAACCCTCACTTCTGGAGGGAAGGCTACCTTGGGGGCACGTCTTTGGTCCCCAGCCGGAAAAAAAAAAAAAACAAGCAAACCGCCCAAAAAAACGAGAACAAAAGTTCAGGGAGTTGGAAATGCCCTCGTATCAGAGCTGCAGGTGCGGACTTCTCAGCAGATCCTGGACCAGACCGTGACCGCTCTTGAGCTGATCTTCATGTCCCAGGTCGCCGTGCTGCGGACCTCCGGGAGCACCTCCCCGGCTCGGCAGTTCCGCTTGGCCGGGCGCGGGAGCACGCTGGGAGAGGCTGAGGGAGGGGGGGCTGTCGGTGGATTTGGTCATCCTTGATGGTTTCGAAGGGACAGTGCAAGCTGGAGGCACAAATCTGGTTCACTTCCTTGTGGGTGTTTGTGTTGGGTTCATACCGGGTTGAGGCTTGAAAGAACAGCCCAGAGTGTTACATTTCAATCCTTGGCAGACCGGGGATCCGCAGAGCATGGCTCTTCGCATGCAGGCTAGCACAAAAGAGACGTCCTTTGGCTTGAAAACCTCCAACACCAAGCATCCGATCAGGAAGTCGTCACACGCAACTTATTATGAGGATATTATCTCCCCTGAAGCAGTGAAGTGCAGAACCCGGAGAGAGGACGTGCCAACTACATTGAGCCCACCCAGTGCCCCAGAGACATGTGCAGGAAAGAGTGCACCACATGAGCAGAACAAATGCAGAGCGCCAAGCTGCACCTTCCTGTGTGAAGCTTGCATTGCTTCTGCCCCTGTTCTGCACCTGTTTTGCTTGGTGTCACTTGCATTTCGTCAGTACTCTCACTGCACTTGTTCCACACTTGCTTGAATGCACACTGAAAAATTGAAGTTGCCGCACATCGACGTCACATGCTCGACGTAAGCCAGCCATTTCTCCTTCCGAGTTTTCAGAAGGTGCTGGGAGGGAATGATTAAAACAACTTCCTTGTTATGTTACACGTTGGCATCTCATCCTTCTCATTGTGTGCTCGACAAAGTGTTTGCTTGATCCAAGCGTTGGTGAGGACAAGTCACATTCAGAGAATACCTGGAGCCTCACAAGATTGCTTGATTCTTTGCTTTGCTGTGGGGCCTCTCGGATGGATTCCCGAGACTGGAGGACCTCTACAAAATCACTGGACATGCCTTTTGCGCCTTGAAAGTCATTCCTCTTCGTCAGTGCTCCGAGCCTTTGGATGATCAACCCACAACAATTTCTGGTGTCCTTTTTCTTTCACAACATTTCTGGTGTCCTTTTTCATTCACCAAAACCATTTTTTGAGCTTGCGCCGTTCGTTTCTCCTTTCACCGGGCCACCTATTCTTGGCTTCGCCCTGCACCCGACTGGGGTAGACTTAGGACACAAATTTTTGCAGGTTACCAGTCAAAGTGAAGCAAACAACAAACTAAAATCAAGTGGCCCCACCACACATCAACTAGGTAGTCTAGGTGAAGCCCCCACAGTATACATTCTAAAGCCCAAAATATAGATTCTAAGCCTGGGCCTAAGTCTACTCATGCCGAGCCATTTTTCGGTTCCGCCAGGGCTCCCTCCAGCTGGCGTCGTACCTTGCGGAGGCCTCCAGCCAGCGTGGCGACCTCACGGACATGCTCGGCCGACTGGAGGCCGGCGACCGGAACGACAAAGCAAAAAAGACAAGACAAGAACAGCCACACAACGGGTATATGGATGTGTCTTTTTAAAGGTTGGACCCCGCAAAATGGTTTTCCTTTTGGTTTCCCTTTCAAGCCAGCGACTGTGGTACGAAAATAGGCTGACAGCTTTCTGGCATTTTCGGACAAGAAGCGAATACCCTTCCCACCCTTTTCACATGGAACCTGACGTTGGGGGGGTCCTGGTTTGGACCATTTTCCTTTTTAAAGGGACCTGGTCCGTGTCAGGTTCCATGTGAATTGGAGGGCGCGTATCCTTCGACGCCCCGGGTAAGTGAAGCTTGTAGAAGTGTAGAAGGAGACAATCCAAAGATCAATAGGAGTTGCTATCCGCCCTTTGATTCTAGGCATTTGAATACCAGGTTTTGACGCACACTACAAAGGGCGCAGGAAGGATGGCCTGCCTTCGTGAAGCTTTCACGGTCCACCAAATTTCCAGGCGCAACTCAAACAGGCTCAACTCTGACGCCCAGCTGGTGTTCGGTTCTCTCTACCGAGGCCCCAAATCGTTGGTGGTGGTCTTTTTGAGGTGAACGGCGATTCCAAAAACAGGATGCGGCTGCCAGAGTTTCCCTGCACAAGCTTTGCCTCCCGTATCGGCACACTAGAGCCTTGACTGGCTCGTTACATTCTGGGAGATTCAGACGTGTTGGGGGGTACTTGGGGCCTTTTGTGGGACAACTGCAATTTCGGGCTACAGTCTGTCTATACACCTTCAGGATATTTGTCCCTGACCTGAATGGGTCGTGCCGCATATGGCCATGGGGGGTGGTGCACCTACCCCAAATTGGTACCATTGGTTTTGACCCACAGCCATATGTTTTTGCAGGAGGAGGAGGCCATCTTGCAGAGCCGGTGCCGCATGTGCCTCAGCGACATGCGGTTCATCAACTTGGCCGGCTGGCTTGATGCTCACCAGGCGGGGCGGTGCATATGCCGGATCGTGGCTCAGCACGCGACGTGCCAAATGGGGATCCTTACCTGTATGACCCCAAAGCTTGTGCTGTCACAGAAAGGCACGAGAGGCAACAAACACGCAAACAAATTTGGTTGCCTTGTCTTTGACCTTTGACCTTTTTTTACAATACCAGTTTCCCCGCAAACCAGCAACCAGCATCACTACCTCTTTGCAGATGTCATCAAACATCCCTCCGCATAGGTAGATGCGGAGTTGGTTCAGGAGGTGCACCGGCTCTTCCTGCAGGCGCTGTCGCGAGCTTCCGTTCCGTTTTTGCATCCTGGGGGTGAGGGGGGTCTGCGTGGGAGGGACGGGGGACTCTCCAAATTCTCACAGAACCCAGCGCATTCTGTGCCCTCTAAATAGTCCTTTTTTTTTTTGCCACACAAACCAGTGGACTCTCTAGGTTACCCTGAGTAAAACGAGGGACCCATGACCCCCCCAAATGTTCAAGTGAGCCACATAAAAACCTGGGTAGACCATTTAAATGCCAGCTTTCGATTGTGACTCAAGTAACGTTTTCCCTTGGATTCCGTCGATTCCAGCTCACAAAGGAACAAAGGAGGCCCATCCCCGCAGAGGGATCCATTGGATTGGCAAGGTTCAATGAACCAAGCCCTGGTTGCCTCTCAAGGGATACAAGGTGAGAGACCCCTTCATCACCCGTCCCTGCAAAAAAAAAGTCCACAACGGCATGGTCAGTTAAAGGTCTAAGACCTACTACAAGGGTGTTTAATCAATATGACAGATATGTTTGAACTTTGGGTATAAACACGGGGTTGATCCAACCCTTGCCCATTCTCCATTTGGCAGTGTCTTTTTTACGGCTGGTTCGAGGGACATCAAAAGGCAACCCTGCCCGTTTTTGGCATGAGCTTCCCCTTAAAAAAAAAGAAGCCACGCCCATGAAACAAGCTCCTTCCCCCTCACCCAAGAATTTTCGGGGGGTTCCCCGAAAAGACGGCCAATTGGACTTTGTTGTTGGGTTTCTCCAAGTTCCGAACGCCTCAAGGCCTGCGCGCTGTCGCACCTGGCAGCCGTGCGCCCCCTGGATGCGGAGAGCTGGCTGGCTGTGGGGCCGTACTTCCAACAGGGGAGGAAGCACATGAAGGCGCCTGGGTACGCCCGGCGGTTGGTTTTGCTTGTTCCTTCAAAACCAGACACCAAGAACCCCAACCGCGATGGGCCTTGTTCGATGAAAGGAGATACATATTGCTTTAAACATGTGTATAAGCTCAAATGTCGAGCAAAGTGGTAAACAAGCATGTATAAATCTAACGTTGAAGACACAGCGGGAATAATGTGGATGCTACCCCCAGAGCTGGAGGATTCCCCCTAACACCGGACACCTCGCTGTCGATCAACCATGGCTTCCTCGTATCCGTTCAGTTTTGACATGGCTGGGCCCGGTCTCCGGAGCTAAACGAAGCCACAAGGACATGGGTGATGACTAGTGCTTTGTTTCAGACCCGCAATGTAGCACTCGGGTAAGCTACGGCATCCGCGCCCTTTGAAGGATTTGATGTTTGCCCGGCCTCAAATGACAGCAGTTGGGTTGTCCAAGGACCGATTCGGTTGACCCAACCTTTGATTTTTGGATGTTTGTTGGCTTTTTTGCATTTCCCCTTTCCAAAACTTGGTGGCTCCCAGCCATCCCCTTAGCCTTTTAGCTTTTAGTGTTTAGTGGTAGTTTCCATTTAACCCACTAAAAGTGAGTCACTTTTAGCGGGGGATCTGAGGGCCCAGAAAAGAAAGGTCTCTTTTCGCATTTCCCCAAGCCGCTGCACTCCGCTGGAAGATCGATCGATGCTTCAGGTCGCGCTGGAGTGCCTGAAGTCCTTGCTGGAAAGCGCGAAGGCATTTGGTTCCAAGGGCGAAAAGGAGCAGGAGACGCCGAGGTGTGCGATGTCCATGCATCTTGGGGTAGACTTAGGATACATTTTACATTCTACCCGTGAAACAATAAGATATACATTCTTCAACTGGCCCTACGTCTAATCATCTTACGTGCTTGGACTGGTTGCTGGACGTGTTGCTCGTGTTTCTTGTGATGCTTTGTGCTGCATGTGTTGGTTGGGTTCTGGGGTTTCGGTGTTTCAAGTCGATACATTTGGAACAGTGAGCTGGATGGGTTTATCCAGCAGCAGGACTTGTCTAGAGACAGAGGCCCTGTAACGTGTCGGGCCCGAACAAAAATCAGCAGGCTGCGTGGGGCAGATGGACACCAAATCAAGTCATGATAGGATCAAAGTGTTAGTGACCATTTAGAAGCTCGTATTTGTGGGTGTTTCCAAAAAACGGGAGCAACTCTTAGATGGTTCGAAAAGTGAAAGCAGATGGAGGAAGCACCTGAATAGAGAGCACAAACTCGTATCACGTTTTGAGCAGGAGGCACTAGCCATTTACGCGCTATCTGGAAACTGGATGAGCTGCTAGGTTTGACGGCTCGTCCAATGTGCGGTCCTCAGTGGTGATGGAGGAACTCCAGGATTGGGGAATCTGAAGAATGCGGCTTAAAGCGAGTTTGCTGGCAGCTCACGACATGCGCCCCATGGACACATCCGCTTCCCTTGCAAGCGAAAGCCCAGGAGCTAGAACGTTTGTGCAGCGGCGTGGAGAATGCGCGCGTGCAGCTGAAGGACAGGATGCCAAGGTATGTGTACTCCCATGGTCACGTGTCCCTTTGCTTGGGCTTGGCAGGGATGAAGGGCTGCATGATCGCTGCCACTGCCTTGGTAGGAGCGTGGCCGAGCGGTGCAGCCACTTATAAAAGGTATCGCTTTGTTCTTCTCTTACCTAGCAGACCTCATCCAGGAAGCTTCTTTTCATAGAGGTCGTTCCTCATTTTCGCACAAATGACCAACCGAAGATGTCGCGGGAGTGGGAAAACGACCCACTTTTCCAGAGGATTGAACCTCTTGGTTCTCCAAGATGAGACCCAAACAAGGCCTCCTTTGACTTTTTCGCATCACCGAGATTTGTCCACAGCGTCCCGCGGAGAAACCGTGCCATGGTCACTTGCCACCCTTTTGCCAGTAGGGCTTTACAGACAAACGTAAAGGTTTCTATAGATGACCATGATTATGACCAACCTCGTGGTGTTATAGACCTCTTAAGGAAACCAGGACCTAAACTTCCATTTGCGGCAATCAATATTTTCTTATTTCCCCTGTTGGGAATCTATCGCTGGACATGTTGTCCCATTTTTTTTTGCCAGGGGACGAAAAAGCAGATTCCCGTGGGTCAAAAGCAATGGTACCATTTTGGTTGGTAGGTGAATTCCACCACCCATTTCAGAACCTATGTTAGTGGGATTGGGAGGTTCACTGGTACGATTTGGATTTTGGCCCACGGCCAAACGGCGGCGAGTGTCGACGAGGAGGCCTGGGCTGCCTTCCAACAGCTTCCGGCGGAGCGGCGCGCGTGCGCGGGGCACGCCGCCGCCGCTTTGTGCCAGGGGTTCGACTCGATCCTCGTGGACGCTTTGACGGGAAACCGGGGGTTGACGGGAGCGGGCCCCGGGCGGGGGAAAACACGGAGGACCCCATGGTGCAGGTTTCTCACATGGATTTCGTTTGCTTCAGGTTTTAGATTCTTTTTTTGTCAACTGTTGGGAACCGATTGAAGGGTTGAAATGACTTGGGAAGGGGTTCCTCATCTTCTTTGAGGTTTTGCCAAGTTGCCAGTGATGCGCTCAGGCTGTGCCTGTGCCTCAGTCAAATGATCATAGATGTATGCGGAACACTTTTGCGATCGCCCAATCAGACTAAATGCGATCTGGCTAAGATGGATCAAGATGGATCAATCCCGCAATCCCCCACGAACAAAATGGACAGAAGTGGGTGCTCTACTTGGAACATCCAGTGGCCATGGCTTAGTCGATTCGTGCCGCACGGTTGAGCCTGAGCCAAGTTGAGCCTGAGGACATTGCCAGCTGCGCACAGCGCTACACGCGGGACACAGAATGGAAAGATTTGGAAGTGCGGCTGCAGAATGCCTTGAAGTCGCCTCCGTGCATGACCTGAGATCTAGGAGTCATGGGCAGAACACCAGTCCTTCTTAGATTAGTTCGATTGGAATTAGATTGGTTTAGATGGGTTTGATTTGCCAGGGCCATCTATTTTACCAAAAGGACACCTAGGACCAGTAGGTTTTCCGCCAAGTATCAAATTGAAGCAAGTATTCAACACCGCATCTCACTAACAGGGACTTGGAATTCGGACAGACTGCGGGGTTCTGCCTATGGCTCTTGGGAGTTTCGTGGGATGGTGCCCAGTGGCACTAGTGGTTGGATCGGCGGACAAGCAGAAGCAGAAGGCACTGCGATAGTTCCCTGAATTGGCCTTTGTTCTTCCCCAGAATTAGCTCCCCTTTTTTTTTTTTTGCTTTTTTGGGGTGCCTTTGTTTTCCACTAACCAGGCAAAAAAGATATGTTTTCCCGGGGTCCTAATTCCAGCCTAGTGTTGGCGTCACTCGCCAAAGGCCACAACTTGAGAAACAGCCATCTGGAGAGTCACTTAGTTTATTCCATTAGCTTAAGAATATATCTATCACTACAGGACATGCTTTCTTATTTTTTCCAGGGGGCTCTAAACGCAAAGGGAAGGTTTGGACGCACACAAGAGCAGAGGATTTGGGTTCGCGTCTATGTTTCATCGCATCCAATGGCTTGAGGACAAGTAGATTTGATTCACCGAGACGGACCCTTTTGAGCGCCTGGCTTGTTGCGTTTCTGTGGTCAACAGTCCATTGAGATTCCCAGCAGCTATCTCTGAAGTAAATCAACCAACATGTGACCTGAGGGGAATGACTTCTTCTTGGCTGGTTTTGCTTTTGATGTGTCCCCTTGTTGTTGTTGTTGTCCACTACCACTTCAGATCAAAAAGCACCAGCTGGGGCATCATGACAACGAGCGCTTCAAAAAAACATGGAACTGATGAAATGTCGAATGAGCAGCGCCCAAACCCCCCATTGGCTATTACTGCCTGGCTTCTGATGGCGTATAGGATGGCCTCTGTAAATCTTATCGCACACAGCCAAAACAACAACCGCCTTGTGAAAGAGTTCCCATAGTTGCACGAGGTACGAGGACGAAAGCACGGCATTGTTCGCCTTGTTCGGCCTTATTTTGACTGATTTAGCCTAAATTGCCGAATTTGGCGCTTATTGGGGCTCAAACCTTTAGAACGCATTCCTGTATGTTTCAACTGGTGTAGAAGAAGATCCCAATCGGCGGAGATTGCCATTACATGAACTGGCACCTGGTGGAGGCTGAAAACCACTCTGCAAGGTTTTTCTGGTTTGGGTTCATTCAATTTCCTGCTGGATGCATGGAATCTCGTCAGTTTGAGTAGTGCTGGGGTTGGTGGCGTGTATGTGTCCCGGAAAGCTAGAACGGGGCTAAAACTCATCCATTCAATTGGGGATGACATATTTTGAAAGGTTGGAGACCTGTCGTAGTGTATGCATACACTCCCTGGAATTAAACAGGAAGCTCCGAAGCTTTTATTTTTATTTTATTTTTGCAGGTTAGTCGAAAAAAAATACAGGCTTTTGATAAATGCTAACATAGAAGTCTCTGGGGTTTTTTGGTCGGCTTCCGCATTTCAGAACACGCAGCTGACTTCCGACGATGGTTTGGGCAACGGCTCCCTCAAACCCTCAAAAACCCTAACCCCCCCTAACACAAACCGAACTCCCCCCACACCCCTTCCAGAACTGGCCCAGAACCCCACCTAGGTACGCCGTACAACTGGGCATGTGGGGGGTGAGATGGACTCGGAAACATCATTTTTTAGCATTAGCGGGCGGACACACCGTAATTTTAAGCGACCGGGGAAATGCCGCTTCACGACTTTTCTCAGGGATATGCGAAACCGCTCCTAACACAATCATAGTTTCCCTATTGACCCCCGAAAAACAATATGGCAAACGACGAGCCTGCACTTCAAGGTTAAGCACACGTGTTCTCCTTTACATGGAAGTGCAGGGCCCATTTTCAGGTTCTATGTTAGGATACTTTCGTCGGTCAGAACGTGTGCTTTCACTCTCGTTTTTTCGTTTACATGGAAGTGCAGGCTCGAAACCGCCCCCCCGAAGAATCTAGGGTTGTTTTGGGAAACCCCAGGATTGCCGTGGCGAGGGGCACCTGGCACAGATTCTATGTTAGGAGATGGTCGTACCTTCCCAGTAAAAAAAAAGACAGGCATTTCCCCAGGAAAAGACGGTGAAGGGACTTCCATGTTAGAGGGACTTCTGAGAGCACGGACTTCCTGTTTAATTCCAGGGAGTGTATGTTTTGTTCTTAGCAGCTGTCTCGATGCCATGCAGGTGGGATTGGACTTTTGGATTTCGGAAGTTGCTTGGTGTCTCATGGTGCTCGCTTGCTTGCTTCTGACAGTCCGCTTGCAGAGTGCAATGAGAAAGGCTGTGGGAAAGGTGAACGGTCGCTGGTTGTGCCGTGTTCCTTCCAGATATTGAATCAATTTGGACATATTATAGCGACTGGGGTAAAATATGATGAATGCCCTTTACGCGGGGACCCCTTGTGTCCCTCAGCTTATTGATATCACGCTTTATTTTCCCAGTTCAGACATGCACCTTGCTCAGCTGAGTTTCCATGCTTGACAGAAGCCAAACATGCGCTGAACACCTCACTTGGCCCTGGGAGGAAGCCGTGATGATAAGACAACGATGAGGTCACTTCTGGTGGAGTCACCTCATGTGGACATGCTTATGAATCATAGGGTGGAGTCACCTTATTTTGACATGCTTCTGAATCAATGTGTCAACCGAGAGGGTGTCAACCAAGCGTCAAGTCATATTCAAAACCAAGGATTCGTGGGGTGAAAAGAGTCCCCTCTCGAGTCCGGATCGCCTCCCTGAATCAACGAAGCCAAAGTTCGCGTTCGGTTTGGGCAGGGGTTGGTTCCTCCTGGCGAAGCAAGGGATGAGTTGTCCTCATCGACCCTTTCAAGGGGCTCGGTCTCGCCATGGGATGCTTCCGACTCCATGATACTGTGGATGGACGACGTCTATTTCGCACCACCGTTTGGAAACCCTGGAATAATATTTGATTCCCTCGGTATGTACCAAGCAACCATGGTTTCAACTACGGTTTCATTTCGTGTGGTCTCGGATTTCGTCCACGTAGGGCGGGGAAGAACTTGAACACTTGACTGCCACGAGGTCGCAAAGCATCAGCCAGGACGTGGCATTCCTGTTGCGCAAGCCCACCAAGAAAACGGGCCGTACCTCCTGACAGATTCACGCAAACCAACAACTGCTTGGGCATTTTGATATTCTCACGGATTTTACCTTCATCCATGTATGGGGTCTGCTTCTATGGCGGCCTCATTTTCGCCTGTGAAAGCAGTACCTCTGGTTGGCTTGATGGATGTGAAGCCTGGGCTCCTGCACCCAAGAATTGTGTGATTCTTGCATGGTTTCACATGGGGCGAGTGCACCAATCCATGTCAACCAGATTCCGCAAACATATCCCATGGGTTCCCCACCCTGTTTGGTTTGGTAGGCCCCTCGTCTGTACCCGCGTTTTGCGACTCGTCTGTACCCGCGGGAATCCGCTCGTTTCTACCCGCGTGGTGGGCGCAGATGAGTCAGATTGATGGCGGTCCCCTATGCTCTAAACTTCACAAATGCAGTACTCACAAGTATTGTGTGGGCACAGATGATCTTAGGTGTTTTGGGGCTTTACAGCTCTTAGAGAATATTCTGAGAAACTGCCATAGGTGTCTACTATGGGTCACGTGCGGTACGGTGCGGCATTTGTGTGTTTTGTATCTTTGTTTGCTTTCAGTGCCATGCTCAAGCCATGTGTGGTGAAGGAGTGTAGCTACAGAGCAGCTAGCCTGGACTGATTCGCTTTCACCGAAAGTCCCTGAATGTAATGAGGGGAGCTCCTGGAATCAAGGATGTGTTTTAGAAGCTTCATTCGGCGTGTTGTCAAAGATCCTAAACCCCGAAAACCCTAAACCCTAAAAAGCCTCAACCCAAAAAAACTGAACCCTTAAAAAACCTAAACCCTAAAATCCTTAAACACTGAAGATCCTAAACCCTAAAAACCCTAAACCCTAAACCCTAAACTAAAGATCCTAAACCCTGAAACCCCTAAACCCTAAACCCTAAAAACCCTAAACCCTGAAAACCCTTAACCCTAAAAACCCTAAACCCTAAAAACCCTAAACCCTAAAAACCCTTAACCCTAAAAACCATAAACACTGAAGATCCTAAACCCTGAAACCCCTAAACCCTAAAAACCCTAAACCCTAAAAACCCTAAACCCTAAGAACCCTTAACCCTAAAAACCCTAAACACTGAAGATCCTAAACCCCGAAGACCCTAAAATCCCTAAACACTGAAGATCCTAAACCCTGAAGACCCTAAAATCCCTAAACCCTAAAAACCCTAAACGCTAAAGATCCTAAACCCTAAAAACCCTTAACCCTAAGAACCGTAAACACTGAAGATCCTAAACCCTGAAGACCCTAAACCCAAAAACCCCTAAACCCTAAGAGCCCTAAACCCTGAAAACCCTTAACCCTAAAAACCCTAAACACTGAAGATCCTAAACCCTGAAGACCCTAAAATCCCTAAACCCTAAAAACCCTAAACCCTAAAAACCCTAAACCCTAAAAACCCTTAACCCTAAAAACCATAAACGCTGAAGATCCGAAACCCTGAAACCCCTAAACCCTAAAAACCCTAAACCCTAAAAACCCTAAACCCTAAGAACCCTTAACCCTAAAAAACCCTAAACACTGAAGATCCTAAACCCCGAAGACCCTAAAATCCCTAAACCCTAAAAACCCTAAACCCTAAAAACCCTTTACCCTAAAAACCCTGAACACTGAAGATCCTAAACCCTGAAGACCCTAAACCATAAAATCCCTAAGCCCTACAAACCCTAAACCGTAAACACCCTAAACCCTAAAACCCCTAAACACTGAAGATCCTAAACCCTAAAAACCCTAAACCCTAAAAACCCTAAACACTAAAGATCCTAAACCCTGAAACCCCTAAACCCTAAAAACCCCTAAC